AAATATATACGTTTGGAATTTATTATGTTCCCATTATACTAAGAAAAGATCTTGTGTTGAGCAGCGATCCTGATACAGTGAGAACTTTAAGCAGGACAGATCCTTGCAATAATGAATGCAATTAATGAATTAGTGGATGGATACCTACATGTTTGAGAAGTGAACAGCAGAAATTAAGAGAAATTTCCTTATGTATTGCATGTATTGCTCCTCCTAGGAACATTTAGTACATTTCAGGACTTAGACTATTATCTAAGGACTTTGCAAAAGTACTGAAGCCTAGTAACAATAAGCCTAATAACAGTATTAGGGTAACTTTGCACAGCGTGATGATGGTCACAAGTATTACTAATACAGTATTCCTTTTATTTGTCATGTATATATATTTGTCTCTAAGTCTACTGACAAACTAACAGAGCCAAATTATTGTATTGTATAGAGCAGCTTTAAAACAAGCTTACATATTTCTTTCTATTTTCCCCAGGAAAAAAAAAAGACCTCCAGAGACTTGGGGATCTTGTACAGAAATTGACTGATGAAAGGGCTCAATATTTTGTAGTTTAAGCACAAGTCTAACATATATAGTTGAGAGCATTCTTACACTCATATGTGGTAATAACTTTTATCCAGTGGTGTTTGCTCGCTTTCACTAAGTCCAGGCTGATAGGTTTTTTTGAAAGTAAAATAGCTGGGTGTTTTGAAAGCTTTTGATGGAGTGTCAAAGGATTCCTTGTATTACAGGAAAGCTCAATACTTTCACATTCTATCACTGTAGATTGATTCTAGTTTTTTGTATTTTTATTAAAAGCAATCCTAATGTAGGGATTTGTTTAATGCAGAAGGATATAAAAGATGGGTTGAGTGTTACTTTTATGTTAGAGTAACCTCACTTTGAAAAGTCTTCCCCATTCCTTATACAGTAGGAGGAAAGTTAGAAACATTGATATTATTAGTGGCTTCTTTGCTTGGATTCAGCCTGTGCAAAAATATGCTTGATTTCATCCAGATCGGGAATGAGAAATTGATATTTTTTGCAAATTTTGTATACTATTTTATAATACTTCTATATAAAATTGATTGGACTTTTGGAGGACTTTGATCCCTACTTCACCAATGAGTACCATTTTGTTTCTCGTAGTACCCCTCCTGCTTGGTATCTGGTCCAGTGGTGGGTTTCAATTATTTTACTATCAGTTTGCTCATGGGCATGCTTGCGCAACACTTCTGCGCATGCTCAGAAGCCTCCGGGTAGGTAGGCGGAGCCTCCCACCACAACCACTCTGGTTCACCCGATCTGCGGTGAACCGGCAGAAACCCACCTCTGATCTGGTATTAGGACTTTTTCCTTTTACTTGGCCCACTTGCTTCCATGTACTTAGAATGATGGTCCTTCATATACAGCATTCTCAGCCACATTTTCATTTGTCAGGATTCAAACCAAAAAGTTAATTGTACATAAGGAAGACTGCTGTAACCACAATCTTGTATCCATTATGTAGCATAGCTGC